GCCCTTCTTTGTCACTCAATACTGTTTCTTATAGTTATCCTCCCAGAAACTACTGTTGTATTAATTTAGATGAATTTATAGGCCCACAGAGTTAAAGGTGTGAACATGACCCTGAAACTATCCAATATTAAACAGTTTAAAATAAGGTTTGGGTTTGATATACAGACCTCAGCCTGCTTAATACAATGGGAATCACATTAGGCAGTTCTTGCCAAAGGTTAGAAATGTATTGATTGGAACACATGAAAAGGAAAAAGAGCAGAAAAAAATCAAAACAAGGCAAAAAGCATTGAAATTAGCTGATTATGAAAAACAAACACCTGTTAAAGTTCCTTTGTGGAGACGGTAAATACTGGTTAAAGTCTCTTTTCAGTCGAACAGTTCTCCTTGGAAGGGAGGAAAGGGTTATTTCTGTTAAATATTGAGTCTTTCCTGCTTTTAAAAACATGGACAGATGCAGAAGGGAGAGAAGAGGTAGAATAGTAAAGATCAGGGAAATATGGCTTTTGTTGATGTTCTTAGGATAGAGGGTGACTGCTCAGTCATGGATGGCTGCTTTGGGCTGGCAGGTTGGCTATGATAGCGGATGTTCTGGACTCTGGCTCACTTCCCTGTTCAGGGATGCCATCCGATTGGTCTGGTCAGGTTCCTATCCTTCACTGGTCCTTCCCAGGCTGAGCATTTCTGGATGGGCCATCTCATTTCACCATGCTGGTGCTGTGCAATACAGTTAATCTCAGGATCAGATGAAAAGCTGAGAGAAAGAGAGAATAGGAGGAAGAGGATTGGGGATGAAAAGGAACATGCAAGGAGGGGAAGACACAGCAAGATTTCACCTGTATCAGGCTGGGATCCTCACTGATGCAGCAATGATCATCAGACAGCCTCACTGGAATATCAAGGTCTGGTGTCACAGCAACAACCCTTCCCACAGTGATGGCAAAAAGTTTTATTTTTCTCCCCCAAAGTCTCTTTTTTTAAGGGCCCCGAAAAGGTGATGAGTGGAATAATCCATCCTCTGTTTATTTTGCCCACCAATTAAGCCTAATTTCCAAAGCACCAATTTTAGTCCAATGATTCTCTACTCCTCTGGTTTACCAGTCACAATTTTAACACAGTCCTTGAGTGGTATCAGTAAACTCTTTTTGTTTAAATTAGCTTAATCTTTCTGTCTTCTTCTCACATCTTTTCTTAAGTAGTTTTATGTAACAGGTCATGGTGATAATTCTTGAACCGTTACCCACTTTTTACCAGTTAGGCTAACAATTAGGATAAATTTGTACACCCAGTTATCACAACGCCACCCATTCTAAATAAGAGTTTTATAGGTTTCAGAGTAGCAGCCGTGTTAGTCTGTGTCCGCAAAAATAACAGGAGTACTTGTGGCACCTTAGAGACTAACAAATTTATTAGAGCATAAGCTTTCGTGGGCTACTTCTTTTATCAGAGCATGTATAACATTAGATGAAAAATTAAGGGTCTTGTGTTCAGCATCTCAGCAAAGGGCCCTAGACTATGGAGCATCTCTACCAAGGGAAATCAGACTCAGCCTAAGACTAACAGTGTTCAGGGCAAAATGCAAGCTGCCCAATTTTGATCTGACCATTTCACCAAGGAAGAGAAAATTTCTCCAGATATATGCACAGATCCACAACTTTACAGAGTGCAGAGTTGAAGTTCCATTTTGAAATTCCTTTCCAGTCTTTTAAATCCTGGCACAGTACCTGGATACCATGGTAATCATTTTTAAAAGCACTACAGGCTTTCCTATCTGTGCTTTCTTGATTTAAAACTGCTTCTTCCTAAAAATGATTAAAATAAGTAAGAACTTGCACTTGTATTTTCTTTTCATTTGTTTGGAGCTGGAAGACAAAAAATGCATTGTTGTCAGCTTAACATTTCTTGTGCCCTAACCATAAACATGGTGTCCTCTCTTTTTCTTATTACTTAGCACCATTTTGCATGGGTCCTTTTTTAGTTTATCCTTTAGTTTAAAAAACAACGGAATCAAAACATTTACTAAACCTACCATGTAGTAAAATAGCACCGGCACTACTTCACACAACTCCCATAAACCAACATGATCCCTTGTAAAGCGGAGATCCCTAAAGATGGTGCATCAAGCCAATATTATATTATTATTAAGCTGAAAACCAGCTGCCTATGGCTGTGATGGGTGTATCAAGACCCAAAAGGAAAACCAGGTCTGTTCTCAATTGTTAATATACTGGTTGCCCTTCTCTCAGCCTGAGTAGTATGATCATTGGAACCATACAGCTGACAGAATATCATTAGTTCCTTTTGCAGGTCTCATTTAAATCATTTCCCCTGCCAGCAAGTTTTGCCATGGCGGCAATGATGAATAAGACTCCTGGAGAGTTGCACTGGACACACCATGAGCAGCAGTCTATGATTATTAGTTCTTTAATTATCCTTTTGACATTGGGAATCATTTTATTGGCCTTCCTAGCTAGGCTTTCTTAGTTTAAAACCATTGCTTCCTAAAAATAATGTAAAGGAGTAAGCACTCACATTTGTATTTTCTGGTTTTGTTTTTGTTTTTTAGATATTTGGGGCTGGAAGAAGGTTATTAGAACGCTCTAGTCATTAGTATGTTAATGATCTGGTCCATTTTAGCTTCTTCAATAACTCCAGTGCATAGTCTTTGATGATTCTCTCCACGTTTCATACTAATTGTCTTCATTGACACCATCCATTTACTCAATGCCCAAAGGTATTGAGACTATAGTAAGGCCATGCTGAGTTTCAATAGGAAGAAAGGATTTTTTTAATCATAAGAAATTGCTAGCTATGTTCTCCTGTACTGTCCAAAATTGTAAAACTGTCTCATGAATAGATGGGGTTGCTATTAGAGCTAGAGATTATATTCTGATACTGTATTTAATAGGACTGTCTCTTTTATGAACGAAAAGGACAAGTTGTTCCAGTGCCAGGGCCGGCTCCAGGGTTTTGGCCGCCCCAAGCAGCCAAACAAAAACAAAACAAAACAAAAAAAGCCGCGATCGCGATCTGTGGCGGCAGTTCGGCGGGAGGTCCTTCGCTCCGAGCAGGAGTGAGGGACCGTCCGCCGAATTGCCGCCGAACAGCTGGACGTGCCGCCCCTCTCCGAAGTGGCCGCCCCAAGCACCTGCTTGGTAAGCTGGTTCCTGGAGCCGGCCCTGTCCAGTGCTACGGATAAGTTTTTTCTAAGCATTAGGTTTGAAACATTTCTGGTAAAACTACCTGGAACCAGATGTTCAGATCCAGGGAGAATTCATTCACCATACATTCTTCCAAGACTCATAAATTGAATGCCAAGCAGTTTATTATGGGTCCTTCATATAAGACCATATAAACTGAGGGCCCTGTCTTCTCTCTTATGAAGCCCCTATAACATTTTTGTAAGCATAGAGACTTCTGGTTTCTCGACTACAATTTCCCTTCTCCCCAGTGCTGTGCAACACACTATGTGCTAGTTACCTGCAGCCTTCCATCCCAGGGATAGCTCTGTTTCAGTGGCACTTTATGAACGTAGCACGAGACTCTAAACCTGGGCACACAAAAGTAAATCAATTAACTCTGGGGTTGCTCTAGATTTATGCTTGTATAACTGAAATCAGAATCTCTCACCATAGTTCATAAGGTGCTCTGAGTTCTTTCAGGAGAAGGTGGTACATAAATGGGAAAATATTTGCATTTATTATTTTCCAAACATCTTTGCACATTTACTGAGTGAAAAAAGCTAATACACAGTGAAAAATAGCTAAAAGAGGGGATCACATGCACAGTTTAAAAAATCTATGATGTTCAATCATGTCTCTCCATTAGGTGGTTGTTTAATTTATTTTAAAGCATGGACAGTGGGTCTTACAGGATTCCTAAAAATGTCAGGCTCATGAAGCCAGTGTGCTAGTATAGTGCTCTGGGGCTGTGTCCATGCTAGCCTTTTCCCCTAAAATTTCTCACCATGGGTGCCACTCCACTGGTGATAGAAATAATGGGAGGGCTGATGTAGACAAGCCACTAGGGAGCCACTAGCATTTTAACCACGATTTTGTCCAACCTTGCTCAAAGTTTTAGGAGAGTCGTTGTTCAGGTGTAACAAAATTGCATTTCTGACAGCGTACTCTGGTCTGTTTATTAGAGGTGCTGTGGTACGGTTGGTACCTAGGTGGTAGTCTGGAGTTATCCTTTCAGAAAGGGAATTGGCAGGCAGTGACCTTGTACATTAGCTAGTATTTTAGTCTGGCTCTGCCAGCAAATATTAGTGGTAGCAGTTCTTGGCAAATATTGTTAAGCGGAATAATAACTGAAGAAGCTGAAGATGGGAAGAAGTGTAAATGTACTTGGGCTCCGAGAGAAGGCTAAAATGAAAAAAGACAAACAATATGCATTTGTGGACATACAAAGTAATGACTTACTTGTTATCTATAGAATAAGGGTCTTGGTGATGTAGTTATTGAAACCATAGGGAAATTATTATTATGTTCTGTAACACAGTAAATGTACATGACGCTTTATAAAGCATATCAGAAGGCAAGGGCCACAGTTTTCAAATGTAAATAGTCATTTTTGGGTGCTCCATTTGAGACATCTTAAATGGGTCTGGTTCTCAATTACTGAGCACTCTGCACTTCTTCCAAACAGTCCCCTCAAAGGCATCTCAGGTTAGGCACCCAAAGTCACTAGTTTCTAGTCTCTTCCCGGAAGAGTTTAAAACTAAGGAAGTCATTCTTGTTTAACACTGGTTTTCGTAAATGGTGGCTGAATGAAAATAGAAATGCTGCAAGAGGACCAGTTCAAAGACTCTTCTTAATTAAGTGAATTATCGTGAACAGGCAAAGTCCTTGCCCTCCTCAAAACACATCACACATTCTTTAACCATTACATAATACTACTTCCCTGCAGTTTAGCATATGAAATGAATAACTTTTCTCTTGTGCTATTGGTGATGAAGATGAAAACAGATGATAACCTTTTTTAATGTATTATTTTATCAGACAAATTTTGGTATTGTCGATTATCGCCCAATCACAAGGTCTTGCACTACGGAGACTTGGAAGAAAGTCCACAGGGAGAAGTTCCCCATGATTCTTTGCAGGATAAATGTAAGTCATGTAAATGTGCTGGCTCTTCTATTAGTTAATGTTTAAGTTACTTATTTGCTTTTAAGACAATGCAATATAAATAGCTCCATTAATGGGCCCAGTATGCCATGCCTCCTCTGGTTAAGGTATATCTTGTCACAAGCATTCTTCTCAAGTACAGACCTCTGTGCAGTCTATAAAGAGTTTGTCAGACTGCAGTAATGGTAGAGCTTGTAAAGTGTGTATTTTTTTCAAGGCTATCCAATGGCAGCTCTACCCAGAAGGATGTGAGCAGTTCCAGTCAATTTATGCCACCATTTGGATTGTTCACCTCAATTTTCTTGTTTAGCTTCATCCTATTATGAAACCCAAAATGAGTGGCCAGATCTTGTCTTTGCAAATCCATGGGTGGCATAGATCTGCTCTTGTGGCCCGGGAACTTGTGAGATCTGGGTTCAATTCCAGACTCTGCTACAACCTTCCTCTGTGTCCCTGAGAAAATTGTTTAATCTCTTATTCCTTCACTTCCTCATCTGTAAAACAGGGATAATAATTCTCCTCTCTCTCACACACTGGGTGTGTGTCTCTGTCTGCCATGCTGTCTCCCCTCCCTCCATTTGTGCTGCCTTGTAGAGTGTGAGGCTATATTAACAACAATGGGTTAACCCTGGAGGGCTCAGCCAAAAGCTAGTTCATCATTTAGGAGTAAGGCATTCCCTGGGAAATATCCCACCCTCTGATTTCACCACCTCAACCAAGCTTCACAATCATCATCGCTGTGTACAGTATTAAATTGTTTGTTTAAAACTTATACTGTGTGTGTGCGTATGTATGTGTACACATACATACACACACACAGTATAAGTTTTAATGTATGTGTATACACATACATACACACACACACACACACACTATATATATATATATGTCTTTTGTCTGGTGAAAAAAATTTCCCTGGAACCTAACCCCCCCACCCCCCCATTTACATTAATTCTTATGGGGAAATTGGATTTGCTTAACATCGTTTCACTTAAAGTACCATTTTTCAGGAACATAACTACAACGTTAAGCAAGGAGTTACTGTAACTTAATAACCTAAACTTCTTACACTGATTCATTTTTATTAATCAATTAACACAAACCTTTGGGATAATGAAATCAAAATCTTTGTTCTGCCTCCATCCCATAAAAATGTCTGGGTGCTGCTTTGTGCTGACCTGGGAGAGTGACACACCTAGCTGGAGTCACATGACAGTGGCATTTTACAGTCACATTCACTTATTTTCATTGCTGTACAGAATTGCCTCAAGGGTGCTTTTACTGGAGTCCTTTGTCAGAATCTAGGACAGGGTTTCTGATCACTGCACTAAAGCATTGGCGCTGGGAAAAGCTATTTGTTTGCTCTGCAGTTAGAGAAATAGGGCAAAAATATTACAGTGGCTTTGGAGTGAAAGATGAGGCAGTGAACCCCACTCTTGAACTGTGGCTCTAGTGACTGGGCCCCATCCTCCATAAAATGTGTATGTCGGATGACCAAGTGAATTAGATAGTGACAGAATTTGAGGGAGGGCCACCATTCCTTGAGTGTCACAGACTTTTCAGGCTCGGGGACACATGGATTACCACAGCAGCCATTACATTAGGAATTAGTTTAAATGGAACATGAGAACCATCCGACTCATGTAAATAGAGCCCAATAATAAGGTGCTACTGTTCAAGACATGCCAAGCAGAACTAGCTTTGGGAACCTACAAAACCTGTGACCAAGTGCGGACTCCCTAGTTTTTGAGTCACCCTATATATAATGTGGGACTACGGAGATTTGCTACCATCTGAGTGTACTGACCTACACTCTCCTAGACATAAAGATTACTGTGCTCTCCACTGCCAGCTTTGGACAAGCCTTCTCGCTCCTCCTGGCCATCGGGTGAGCAAAGGGGAACACACAGTGGTCCTTCTCTCTTCCCATTCCCCAATGCAGAAGGGGGAGAACCAGTAGGGGAAAGGGGATGAGGGAAAGAAAAATGAGACCGAGGTGGCTTGTGGAGAGGGGGGTCCTCTTTGTCTGCTCACTAAGTTTGGATGAACTGGTACCATCAGTTCTCAAAAATGCCTTCTTTCATATACAGTTTGCTAGGAAACTTGGTCCATTCCTCCCAGATGAGGATTTAGCCACAATAATCCATGCATTGGTCATATCCAGGCTGGAATACTGTGACTGATTGTATCTGAAGCTGAATGTGAAGATTATGCATAGGCTCCAGCTGGCACAGAATGCAGCTGCCCACCTCTTCTATGGCTTAGGCTACGTCAGACCCATGCTCAAGATCTTCCACTGGCTCCCTGTCAGCTTTCAATGCCAGTTTAAGGCAATGGTCTTAATTTTCAAAGCGATTAATGTATCAAGCCCCAGCTACATCAAAGACCAAATTTTGACTTATGAATCACCATGACAGCTGCATACTTCTGGAACAATACAGATCACAAAACCCAGGGCAAAGCATATGAGATCTGGGAACCAAAATTCTCAGTAGAGAGGATCTGGCTATGGAACAACCTTCCAGATGAGATCAGGTGAATTCAGAGTCTGACCATATTTAGGAAACATTACAAAGCCTTCAGTTTAGAGAAAGTCTTTTCACCATAAGTGATACTCACAACTCAGACACTCCCTTTTATTCCCCAAATCCTCCCAGTTCCTCAAAAAAACCTACCTCAAGCAGAGTGTTGACCCTAAAAAGAGAAAAGTGACAATGACTTCATGGAGTCCACTAGGGACTTTGCTACGGCTATCGCCATCTTTGCTATGGGGAAGTTGCTTAGAGACTCCAGTGATGGGTGGCACTTTAAAACCCTAAAGTAGACCGAAGGAGGAGAGGTTGAATGGATAACCCCAGGAATAATTTCTGCTGTTTATGGTTTACTGTATGTAAAAAAAAATCCATTAAAAATGGCATTGTATTTTAATATTTTGTGTTGTCTTTTCAGCCATAACACTGTGAGTGATACAACAGCTTGTTGTCTTGGCTAGAGAAGACACATATATAATACATAAAATATGTGTTCTGCTGCTGAGTCCATCGGGGGAAAAATGCATTCTCTACTGTAGCATTTCCATTAGAGATTCTAAGGGCTCAAGCAATGACAGACTTTCATGTTATTATTCTGCTCCATATGATCCTTTTCCAAAGTCACAAGATAATGGGTTATTTATAGATTGTAGAAGCTTTCTGTCATTCACTGACCATATTATATTTAGAGTATATAGATTTTCCATAATGTAATTACTGCCGGAAAATTGACTTCCACTTGAAGCACAGATGCATTTATCTCTGTGTTCTAGTGACCTCACCAAGTTTACTCCTGCAGAGACTGTGACAAATGCAACTTTTCAAAACTTTTTTTAATGAATTTACTTTAAAAATTATTTTTTTTAAAAAACAGTGATGGTTGGTCATTCTAAACTTTATATAGCTTCCCCATCAAAATCACAAGTGTGTGATTGAGCAGTCAGTCATTGATAAAGTGTAAAACAACATAAAAAAGTTATATCTAAATTAATAAGACAGATATATGCTATATGTTGTCTAGAGCAATGGTTCTCAACCTTTTTTTTTTCGCGGACCACTTGAAAATTGCTGAGGGTCTTGGCGGACCACTTAATGATCTTTCCAAATGTTGTTTGTACCATTAGCTAACTATTGTAAAATGCTTTGGATAAAAGCGTTATATAAAAAAAACTTAACAACAATTAACATTTTTTTGTTCTACAAATAAAAGCACACAACTCATATTTTAATATCAGTAGCCTTACCTTTCTAATGTGATGGATGTGCCCTCTCTCCCCTGCCGGGGCAGGCCCTGAGCTGAGGCTGGGAAGGAGAGCCATCTCTCCCTGGCTGCCACAGCCCTGGAGCTGGGGAAAGTCACCTCTTTCTCTGGCCACCGCTACACTGCACGTCCAAATTCCTCCCACCTCCTCTTACCCCACTACTTCCTCACACTTATCCCCTATTCTCCCCCAGGCCACCACCTCACCTTACATGTGCGTCTTCTCCAGGGTCCAGGCACCTAATTAGTGGAGCCACACCTGCGTGGCTCCACTAATTAGGTGGGTAGCCCTTCATTCACTTGTGTTTGGCCACCCAGGCGTGAACCTTAGAGGGTACTATCCGTGGACCACCTGAATGGAGCTTGTGGACCACAGTTTGAAAATCTCTGGTCTAGAGGTGTGAGTGTACATAAACCCTATACACATCTACACAAAATCCATTTTCCATCAAAAGTCTCAACAAGAGGGAGAACGCAGAATCCTAGTTCATATTTCCATCTGGACGTGTGAAACTTGAATCCATTATGTTAAGGCTCAGTGATGCCTGTTTCAGTTGTTTTGCTTAGTTTCACAGCAGACTCGGGTAATGGCATAGTAGCTGGAATTTTTGACACATCAGTTTTGCCTCTTGTTTGACAGCACAGCTCTTACACTTTTTGGTTACACTCATTTTCTTGTTTTGAATGCAGTACCTGTGGCAGATATAAAAGCAGTTGTGACAGGGAAGGACTGCCCTCACATGAAGGAGAAAGGTGCTCTTAAACAAAACAAGGTATGACTTTCAAATTATTATAACTGTTCACTCTGCAGAGTACAAAGACTGTGAACATGACCTTTCCTGAAATAACTGCATTCTGGCTTGCTGCAAATCCATTTGTATTGAACACACACACACACACACTCTATTTTTCTGTCTTTTTCTGTTTTCATCTAAAACCATGTGAGTCAAATTATTAGACAAGCCTACTTGAGTGGGCTCAACCCTATGTTTAACTTTCATGGCATCTGTGCATTGTGATAATTGTGGATAAACACAACACATACGGAGAAGTGATCAGTAGTGCTGGCTCCTGCTGGGTTCCAGGGAGTCTAACAGAGTAGCAATAACTATTGATGAGTGGCCTAATGATGTTGCATGCTGAAACATTATCCTCATTAAACAAATAAATTGTGCTTACCATATTCTCTGATGAATCTGTCACTGCATCTGTCACACAGCAAAGATACAATTTATGTCCAGTTTATAGTAATTTCAGATTGAGGTGTGCTAGAAAACCCAGGTGTGAAATGGATGCTGATGAAAGGATGCTATGTGATATTTGAATTCTAAGGAGGCAATGATGCATTCAGTCTTACAGTGGGATTGAGAAGAGGTGCAGTGTTCAGATCCAGATTAGGTTTAGGATATTTTTCAGAGGTTGGGTTCAAGAAGCTGAAGCTAGCACTAGTGTTCAGGTTTCATAGTGCTAAAATCTTGCTTTTTTTTTTTTGCTGAGAAGTTAATTCCCAATTACGAGAGCTTGGGAGATCCGATGATCTTGGGAAAATTCTGCCATCTTTAAAGGTGGAAATCCCTGGCCAACAGGTATATTCATGAGACTTCCATCAACCTGTGCTGCATATGAATTTCAGTGGGGGAATAAGACCCTCATTGCTTTGGATCTGACTTGAAACCACAGGGTTCTAGCCAGGGGATTTGAATCTGAATCTATCAATACCTGAAATTAGGAATATTTTGAAGTTCTGCTTTGGATCCACCTCTAGTTGTGATGCTTAGAAAGATTCTGAAGCATAAAATATTTAAAAAAGGATTTCCTACTTCAGTAGTGTTTAATTTTGAAAACAAAATGTGTGTGTTTAATGTTCATGAAAGCATAGGACTAAAGACAGATCTGGAGCCAGGCACTGTGGGGATGGGTGCAGTGAAAGCTTCCCCCCGTAACCATTGCAATGTACCTTTGTCTGTCCATTCCCACCTCTGGTCTTTTCCTACAATGAGAAAGAGATGAGGACAGGTAGAGACAGCTGAAACTAGCTGTTCCCTCAGTGACTGATTCTAAGATACTACACTGATGAGTGCAGGATGGCTGGAGGGACAGACCATCTCAGAAGCTCTGTTTGCGTATGTTTCCCATACAGGTAACTAGTCTCAGTTGTATTTGGCTCATAGAGCAGAATAGTCATTTTGAAATACAGAGTTTACCCTCATCTTCTTTCACTATAGAATATTCCTGATTGAAAATGAAAAGCCTTATCAAATGAAAATCAAAGCCAAACAAAAAAAAAAGCAAGGAAACATTTTCCTGGTTAATTTTCTGAATCAAAACACAAACACACACATACACGCAATAGATTGCACATAGCTCCGACTTATTGCTGCATCTGAGACATCAACAGCATTTGTCTGTTGCAACTATATGATATAGATGAAGTATTTTTAGTGCTTCCTTATCTTGGCATTCATTTGTCCACACAAACAAAGACAGAAACCATACAGTGGGTGATGGAAAATTTGTCATCTTTATAAAGCAGCAGTGTTTAAATAGAGTTTAATGCTAAATAGAAGGGCTACAGATTTGTATGCCCTCAGCAGTCAGTAATGCTCCATTTCCTAGGGTAAAATTGCAATAGACTGACATAAAGCTGCTAACCAAAGATGTGGAGGTCAGGAATTGATAGGTAACATAATTACATCCATAGCTGTTGAATTCAGTTTTTGGTACAGGCTGTAGTCATTTTTGTCATTACTCCATTTATGATGTTGATTTTTCCATGTCCTCATTTTCTGCTTTAGGAATAACAGAATTTGGAAGGTTCGTTATTGTGTAATACAGACTGTATGCACAATGTCTGCAACATTTTAATAGTCTGTGCAGAATATTGCAGCACTGCTTAGCTAAATTTTAGTTTAATTTAGTTTGACAGCCAAGAATGATGTATCAAAATCTCACAAACCCTGTTTTCTTTGTATTTACAAAACACAGAGCGTAGGTTGAAGTTTCACAATTGAAGAGAGGATTTGAAAGGACACCTTCATCATGTTATGACCTATATATATAGAGAGAGAGAGAAATATACACATTAAGGTGCTTGTTATATGTAACAAGCACCTTAATGTGTATTCATTGAAAGAAAAGAAAATTAATGACAGTGTTACACACAGGAATAGAATTGGCAGAATGTTCTTAACAGTGGCTTCATCATTTCCTCATTGGCCAACATCAGCCCTTATTCTTCCAGTGGGATCATTTAGAAATAAATAGGAACAAAGCTGAACTGAAATTTTGATGCCATATGAAACTTGAATGGCTTGATAGAAGCAGATTTGAATCCATGGTTGTTTAGTCTTGCTCACGTTTTAAATTGGGTTCAATTTTTAAGACTCACTATTAGGCTCATTTGTGCCACTCATATAATATTAATATATTTTATGCAAATGAATTGTATTTGATTTAAAAGCCATTTAACAAGGAAGTATGAGAGACATGTTCATCTAGCCGTGGGTATTCCACAGTCATCCCTTCCATTTGCTGACCTGGTAGGTTTAAGAACATAAGAACAGCCATACTGGGTCAGACCAAAGGTCCATCTAGCCCAGTATCCTGTCTTCCGACAGTGGCCAATGCCAGGTGCCCCAGAGGGAATGAACAAAACAGGGAATCATCAAGTGATCCATCCCCTGTTGCCCATTTCCAGCTACTGGCAAACAGAGACTAGGGACACCATCCCTGCCCATCCAGGCTAATAAGTTCATGGAGAATAGGTCCATCAATGGTTATCTAAATCTTTTTGAACCCCATTGTAGTTTTGGCCTCCTCAACATCCCCTGGCAACGAGTTTCATAGGTTGACTGTGCGTTGTGTGATGAAATACTTACTTTTGATTGTTTTAAACCTGCTGCCTGTCAATTTCATTGGGTGACCCCTGGTTCTTGTGTTATGTGAGGGAGTAAATAACACTTCCTTATTTACTTTCTCCATCTGTGGAGAATTTTTAGTGAGCGGAAATTAATCTACTTACTTCTCCGTTCTTCAGAAACATCTGTTCTCTTTGATTTCACCTTGGTTATCACAGAACAAGAACACCAGCACACATTCTAGGTAGTGTACTGTGGGAACCATCCTGCTCTGGCATTGGCTTAATAGGCCGGTGGTTCCCAACCTGTGATGTGGGCTGTAGGAACCATGAGACCACTCAGGATGAGGTGGAAGGACACTCACATGGTGGTTTCAGCTGCATGTGATCGCTTGTACTCCTCGGCCTTAGGCACTGGCAGCATAACAATTGACCAGTAGCAAATCTGATTATCAAAAGCTGCCCTGCTCCCTGATCCTTTCTGCTCACATCTCTTCTGTAAAGGATTCCCCATGAGGCTGAAGCAGGGAGTGGCTAGTAACTTTAAGCAGAGTGTTCACACTCTATTTCAATGAGAGAGACATCTCTAATTCCAAGCATTGATTCCTCTTGTAAATACAGGAAGAGGCAGAGAAGAATTCACGAGGAGGGGAAAGGAAGAGAGAGAGCGCGTGAGAGGGAGAAGTTAGAAGTGATGAAGGAATGGTTGCAGGGGAGGAAGTGAAACAAAGTTGGAAGTAGGGAGCAAATTGGAGGATTGTGAGAGAAAGGATGGATCTGGGACAGAGAGAGGAGCTGGTGAAAAGAGTTGGAAGGGAGAAGTGAACACAGAGAGGTTGAGAACTGGGTTTTCAGAGGGAGGCAGAAAGGGGAAGGAGATAACAATGAGAAAGTTAATGGACTGAATGAAAAATTGAAAGTAAGACCCAGCAAAAAAAAGATAAAAGAGACAAAAAGGCAAATGCGGGAACATGGGAAAGGGGGAGAGAAGGGAGTGATAATAGAGCAAAATGGGTGCAAGACGTGGCAATGACTACAGGGCATGGCATGCAGGGATATAGGCAGGAGCTGGGATTGGATCCATTACCAGTGAGGTCTTCAACCCAGGTAGTGAGTTGAGGGAAAGAGTTAGCTGGAGAATGTTGAGAAGGAGATATCTGACAGAAAGGCTGAGCTTGGAGCATCATACTGTTTGTTATTGGTTCTTTCACATCCCCAGTCCTATGTACAGGATTTGTTGGTGACCTTCTGGAAACTCAGTAGCTTCATAGTACAGGCTCCCTCCCCTGCGCATTTTGTTTCACGACTTGGCATTTTCTGATGTCAGTAATTGATAACACTCTGAGAGGAGATAAGGCCAGGCTTGTATGGGCAGGGGTAAATTTGGTTCTGGAATGCAATCATTACTCTTAATAAGGAAAGCAAGAATTTTTGCCATGTGATACTGAAGTTTCAGATCAACCAGATCAAGTATGTATAGGGTGTAACTTAAAGTTTGTAATCCAGATTCTGGTCTTGTTACACCAGTGTAAATCTGGAGTAACTCCACTGAAGTCAATGGAGCTACTCTGGCTCTGTGTACCTGTGATCAAATCTGGTCTGGTATATCTGCTATAGCCACCACAGATTTACAGTTGTTTCATTTTTGATCCTCAATATCGTGAATGTAGGAAGCAGTGCTCCTGTAGCTTCTAACAGTGTAGGAACAATTGTTGTATGCCTCTCTTCTCTCCTTCAAGAGAGCCAGTAAAGACAATCAGTGTTATAGGGCCACTGACCAGGAAGCAAGGGGGTAAAAAGAACCGGGCCCATGATATGGAGGGGAATATTTCTGAGTCCACCAAGTAGAGGCCACACTAGTCACTTCACTAATGACTGTTAGCGTGCGGTAAAAACTAGTCAGAGTTGATATTGAGACATGCTACAATAACAGATATACCACATCTACTTGCTAGTTTCAGGATATGGAAATACCACAGTACCTTAGATAGCAGTGTGGTCACTGTTGATAAATGCTGACTATTTATTTACATAGGCTGGCATTTTCAAAGGAACTTGATTCCCATTGACTTTCAATAGGGGTTGCATGCTTAACTATCTCCCTTAGGCTCCTTTGAAAATTCCAGTTCAGAGACATAGGGGAGAAAACTGATCATCTCTTTCCAACCTCCCCCTCAAAAAAAACCTTGTTTGAGATCTTTATAACTGAACAACAAAAACAGTAATATCTCAGATAGATGCAGCTACTGTATGGGAGGAGCTAACATTTTTTATTTGTAGCACTATATGCTCTCTAAAACCATTTGAAATGGAAATAAGAATGTGAACCACATTGAGAAACTTATTAATTTAGCCTTATTATTACAGTATTTGTTAGACACCACTTATGTACCTAGTGTTGTGTCAGAGTTTATAATATAGCTCTAGAGCTTACATGGACTTGCAGCAAGTATGACCTGTTAAACAAAAGCAAGAGCCAGATTTTCTACACACACACATACACAGACCCCGGCTGCCCAACCCAAAGGTCTTACAATCTGAGTAGACACACAGATGTGGCATTTTTGAAGAGCAGAGCATGGAAGGTGGAAGTTATTGCCAGTAGGTTTTGTGGGACTCCTGAGTTCTCAGAAGGGGTTCAAAGGAGGAGAGGTAGGGAGTTAGCACCTGATTTAGGAGTCTGTACAATGCAGAGAAAACAGCATGGAATAAGGCACTGAATCTGCAACGGGAAGGAATTGAACGAGGTAGTGAAGAGAGAAGCTTGGGCTGGAACATGAGGAGTGGGGGGAGCGAGAGTAGAAGAAATGAGGGTAGAGATGTAGGCGGGGGTGGAGTGGTGGAAAAGTTTGAAGGTGGTTATACTGTGGGCCAGATTCTTGGAGGCAACAGTGGAAGTGCACGTGAGGAGAAACACATAGGTAGCTTTTCACCATGTTTCTGCCTTCCTTCCTTATATTATTCAGGGTAACTCTGTGTAGCTACAGAGCTGCTTTATGTTACACCAGCTTGTAATGACCCTCTAGAGGGTGTTACATTAGTGGGAAGCACCAGAGTGCAGGTCTGTTTGAACACACACCCCTCCCATCCCCAAAATGCCCCCTACACTGGTGGGAGTGGGCCCTGAGAGGAGGAAGAGGAATCAGCTATGGCAGCCTTCTGTGCTCCTTGGGGATTTCCCTCTGTGTGGTTGGATCCAAACCCGCACGGGACACATTTGCCCATTCTGGTTCAGATGGCAACCAAAATGGCAGAAATCTCCTGAGAATGGATAATTTTGTAAGATTTCCGGCATCAACAATGGCACAAATATCACAAAACGAACTGTCCTTGTGAGATATCTGTCTTATGGGGCTATGGCTTTGCGAGGTTTCGGTGTCTCTGATCTCAGACCCTAGCCATGGCACGGCTCAAACCCAAACCCAAACTGTAGCCTAAGTTGGAACCCCACACTGTCACTGCTACTCATTTCAGATTTTTAGCTTTGCCTAAACCCCATTGGCACCAGTGTTGGTTCTGTTGTTGTCAGTGTCTCTTGTGATATGCTGGCACCATGGCAGTATTGGCCGGAAATGAAGTAGAGTTTCAGGTGAGTATCATTTTATTCTGGTGCATACGGTAAAGTATTTCAGTTTTCTTCAGAGTTGTTGGCAGGGAAGAGAGCAAGGTGTGAATGTGTGACTCTTTCTTATGGACTTCTAATATGGGTTTCTTTATGACTGTGTTCTTCCAGGAGGTGCTTGAGCTTGCTTTCTCTATATTGTATGACTCAAATGGCCAACTGAATTTCATCGCTCCTGATAAGCATGAGGTAAGTAGATATTAAAGTAAGGGGAAACAAGGGTGAGATGGGGTGGGGAACACAGCTCTCCCACCTCTCTAAAGATCGTACGTTTTCAGGGACAGTCTTTTTGTTCTGTGTCTGTCCAGCACCTAGCACAATAGAATCCTGGTCCAGGAGTGGAGCTCTTAGGTGATACAGTAATACAAATAATAATAAAACAGAGAGAGGCCTCTCCCTTGTCTCCTGTTTTGGGAGACCTGTGCTCATTCATAACTCCCCCTCCTCCTTTTCTGGTGTGGTAAGAGCTCCTCTTCTTAATTCAATCTACCTTAATCACTGGAAAGTAGGTAATTCTCCCAAGTGAATACAAATAAAACTTCAATGTTCTCCTGTGTGACCAATAATCAATTCATACAAGATTACAGAATAATCAAGTTAACCTCAGTATAACATCCCTGGCCTGTACTATCAAGACTGTTAAACACCAACAGGCATCATCAGCTAGTCTTGACCGCACTCCCATACCATCAGTGGAGTTTATGGATACAAACACATTGGCCTTTTATGCTACTGAATGGCACATCCCCCCTGTTCTCAGTTTAATGTTGTTAAGCATGCCCCTGGTACATAACACTATACATTCTGCTGTATCCACGGTGTGGGATGGGACAGAGCTCTGTGAGCCAGTGGTGCAAATAAAAAAGCAAAACAAAACAGCCAACCCCCAAAGAAGCATACACCTTGGAAGATAATGGTCAATTTCCAAATTCAAGGTGGAAGCATCACAAATGATTGTCTCAAAGTATTTGGGATTTCCAGACATAAACTTAGAAGGATGCTTAGCACAAGAAAGGACAACTAAAGTGCATTAGGTATGCAGCTTTCACATTTGAAATTCTGGCTAAAATCTTTCAAACAGATGTTAATTCTGATAGAAGCTCATTTGGCTTTTCCTGAGGATTTATTTTTCAATGTCACTTAGAAGCTTTTTCATTCCAGGAAGTGATTTGATGGCAAATCTTCAGTTAAGAGAAGTTAACAATAACGTTTCTAGAGCTCCCAAAGCTTCAGCTACTGTTAAGAGTTACTGTTTTAGACAAGACGTAGTCCTCTTCAACCTCTAGATTGGACACATGTTGGGTTCTTTCTGCCATAAATTCTGCAACAATTTAATTATAGTCCATGTTGGCTCTTAGGGGCGAATTGTCATGGAAATTAGTAAATATTTCAGTCACCTCCACCGGAAAATGCAGCATATAACTACTGCCATCTTCTAATGAACTAACAGAGGCCTTGTAATCTTTTCCTAAATATCCTCCTCTGTTTTTACCTTCAACTTTGTCCGGCTCATTTAAAACAAAATTGGCATGCCTGAAAAAGTCTGCGTTTGTGACCAGAAAAGCAAGGGCCAGTGTCAGGGCTGGGTCGTGGGCAGCCAGCCTGCATGGATCAGCTACCAAGTTGTGGTGAAGAGACGAGTAGCGGAGTGGGAGTTGAGCCAGGTCAGGTTGCTAGGAAGCAAGAGTGAGGCAAATAACAGAGTCAGACATGAACCGGTGTCGGGTTCACAGCAAGGCAAGGTCTGAAGGGGGAGGAAGCAGGCAGTCAGTGTCATTGCTCAGACAGCTCCCTGTAATGGTTTCCTGGTTTATATATCGGCATGGGCCAATCAGCTGGCTGCAAGGGGCTGCCACTCAGGCCCTGCTGGCCAGTACTTCCTGCAGCACTTAGCATCAGAGGTTCCCCCACCAAAAACCCAGCCTGAGTTTCTGCTGGTGGTATGGAAATATCCTAATTGGTCTTAATTTAGCAGTGTTAACTTAACTTAGCAGTGTTCCCAACTTTTGAGATTTGTCTCTCAATATTTGGTGTGTTTAAAGGCTTAAAAACCAGAAAGCAAATAAAATGAACCCAATTGTTTAAACTCATGATGTCTGAGCTACCATCATTGTTTTGGGGGGCCTGACTTATGATCTTTTAAATTTGGCAATACAGCTTAGCCATCTGTCAAAGCTCATTGCTGAACACTTTGAGATCACACCATCATATTTGTTTTTCATTTGAATGCTGAGCTGGTTTTGACTGAATACCCTCCTCCCCCCCAAAAAAGGTGGATTATTCCATCCCTGTATTTTGACAGAGAAGCTAGTGAGACTGGTTATAATTAGGTTTCACTGCCACTTCATTAAAATTAGTCTGTATTAAATTGAGTTGATTCTTCAGTGGCTCTCAGTCTGTTTTGTACGTTGAAAGAAATACCTCTGAATCAATGCTGTAATTTTTCCACCAGCTCAGTAGGATTTCTAGCAGTTTCCTAAATTATATATGTCTGATTAGGTTCACTTGCCAAAGTGGAGATGAGACAAAGAGTCCCTTTCTCCATCCACTGCACCCACATAATAGGTGGCCAGAAGAAGGTTGCAAGGAGCTGGAAGGGGCTCCAAATCAGTTATGTTTGAACCGGAGGAGGACTATGGCTCTTCCCTCACCAGTGCACTGAGATGCTTGCATTGAGGGAGCGCTGGTTACATCAGATGATCAGATATTACATGGAGAGCTTTCCAGCATGCTTCCACACCTCAAAGCACCTCAATTTCTTTTGCAATTATTCCTTTACTTCTCCTGATAAAGTAAATCCTGGCAAAACCATTTTCAATAAATGTTTCTTATAGAAATGTTTAAGGAAACTGTGAATTTGCAAAACACCATGGAGCTGTGTGTTCAGCGGGAATTTTATTTTCAGGTCAGGTTTTTTTTCTTTCTTGGAGGCCTGTCTACTCTAGGGGAAAAATGTATATTTAAAACATGATAGCTTAGCACGATTTAAAATCCTATTGTGGACAGGGCAAGTTCAAGTTTGAAACCTTATTAGCTGGTCAATGTGAACCAGATATCTGTAGACCATTTTTGCGGATAGTGGATCGGATGCAGATACAACCACACAGGGCTCTCTTCGCTGGCAGTGCCCGGGTGGCGGCGTCTGGCTCGGCCAGCCCGGGGGATGCAGCATGCTCGGGGCCAGTGGCCAGTGGCCAGTAGCTGGGGCTGGGCGGCACGTCGGAGTCTGGGCTGTGCACCACGCGCTCACCGCACCGCTTCCTGCCCAGCAGCTTGGGCCCCTCGGGCAGCGCCAACATCCCCACCATGGCCTGGCCTGGAAGCACTGGCTGCGCTCCCAATCCCAGCCTGCCGGCTCCTGGGCAGCAGGGCCCACCCCCGACCATGGAGATTAGAGCAGGCGGGGCCCCGGTGCCCCACCCCTCCGACTCACTGCGATACAACACGCACTGCTGCTGCCATGTGCCGTCGCTCGCGAGCACCCGGGAGCAGCACACGATGCGATTGCCCAGGCCCCCAGCCTCCCCACCCCTCTGCACCACCTCTTCTCCTTGAGCCCCCCCCCCCCACTGCCCATTACCCCCAGTCCCCACCCTTGCGCTGCCTCTTCCCTGCAAGACCCCGCACCCCCACTCGCTCCCTTCCCGCGCACCCTCTGTCGCTAGTCCTTGAGAAGACCTGCTGACGTGGATACAGGTAAAAGATGGCTAGCAGATCATGGGATGGATTGCAGGTTGATTCTGGCGGATGCAGATCCACATTTTTATATCCGCGCAGAGCTTTAACCATAAATTCCCCACTAAGCAGCTAACACATTAACACTACGACTTGCCTTGTCTACATGAAAGGTGAAATCCTGGCTCTGTTGAACGCAATGAAAATTTTGCCACTCACTTCACTGGTGCAGGATTTTACTCGAGGATTTTGAAGTGTTAACTCTCATGCTTTAAAAACATGAGACATAGACTGAGATTTTTTTCTCTGATTCTTATCAATATTCTTTTTCTTTTCTTGTGCAGCACACAATCAGCTGTAGCTATCTGTAAGTTTGGCTACAACTTATAGCACACGGTTGGCTAATTTTAAAGTCCATCCTTTGGCATAAATCTAGCAGAAACATTTGTAAGATAAAAATGCATTTATCGTGGATTTAATTTTCCCCTTGTAAGCTAGGACACATGAGTTCATGATTGAAATCTTTTTATTTTTAGACGATACCATTCAAGTACTTTTGTTCATAGTTGCGTAAATGGTTTGTAGTAATAAATGGAAGTGATTTGATAGAAGTTGACTCTTGTTCACCTTCCTCTCCTGGGTTTGTTGCTTATTTAAAACAGTTATTCAGCTTATGTTTATCTCAAGCTGTCAGCTTTGGAGTGAGATTGCATTTCCTGTTAAAAAAAGAGAGAGAGAGCAAGAGAAGAGGTTCTTTACAGGCCAAACAAAGCTGTTTAGAATTATGCCAAGATAACTTGACATTTAATTTTTTATGAAGGACAGAACATTGAACATTAGTTTTCTGCTCTGGAAAATAGATCCATACATATTTATTAACATAAAGAGGTGCTTATGTATAGGTTACATATATGTGTGTGTGTTTGTGTATCCTTGTTCTTGTGTATGTGAGTTTGTATACACACACATACGTATACACATACTTAATATGTATTTGTACGCAACCTCACCTATGTACAGTGTGTAGTTATATACTATATTACATATTTGTATACTGGATATATGATGTGAAATATATTTGATGAGATCAAATGTATTTTAAAATCAAATATATGATTGTGATATCACAAAAATTAGATATCTGAAAAGTCCTGTTAGGTTTTCTAATCCACCTCCCTGATAGTGCAGGATTTTTTCCCTATAATATATATTTTAGTTTCCACAATATAATTAGCATTTATGGCAAATATATTTTTCCATGTAGCTAAATACTAGATCAACACGGGTCCAATTTGACTCCCATTGAAGTCAATGAAAAGATTCCCTTAGACTACATGAAACTTGGATCAGTTCCTAATGGTTTATGATTAAAAATAGATGGGTTGTTTGATTAGTGTGCAAAGGAAAAACTGAATATCACACTACAAAGTGGTACTCTTGATATTGAAGGAGAAGTGTCTTTTAGAAACTACTTGGTTTACTGTATACATTTTTCTGGTTTATCGAATGTTAGAGCTGGTTGAATGTGAAAATTTTCAGTTTGAAAAAATGCCTTTTTAAAAAAAAATCAAAAATGTTTTGACTAAAAACAAAGAAAATTTTCACTATGTTTGAAATTTTCCAAACAAAAAGCCCACACACCAGAGAAATTCCCCAACATTTTTTTTTAATGGAACATTTTTCATTTCTTTCAATTTGTTTCCCAGAATTTTTGTTACCATATTCTGACCAGCTGTTTGAAACATTTACCTGTTTCACACTAAATCACTAGCTAATAAATATGTTTAAAATTAAGCCAAAGAAGTGCTTAAGCACATCTGTCTAGTTTAATCTTAGAGATGTTCTTAAGTCACTGGAGCATAAATGCACTGGAGATGACACGGTTGGCTGATTTGTTTGCATGGGAAAGTAGGTTAGGTCTGGACTTAATGGAGGTTCTTATCTTCCATGGCAGTACTGTATCTGGACCGATGGATTGAATGCCCTCCTTGGGAAGGATATGATGAGTGACCTGACACGAAATGACTTGGACACACTGCTCAGCATGGAGATAAAGCTGCGTCTTCTCGACTTGGAGAATATACAGATTCCTGATGCTCCCCCACCAATTCCAAAGGAGCCCAGCAACTATGATTTTGTTTATGACTGTAACTGAAACTGCCCACTGAAACTCGCATTTAAACTGGAAATATTATAACTGGAAAGATTAAACAAAGAGAGCGAGAAGCCCACCTTGGATTATGGACTGTAGTTAAAGCACTCACTTTTCTTTCCATTCCCTACATCTGTTCCTTTCCCCATATCCCATCTCCCCCGTTGCTAGCCAAAAACTACATTGCTTTAATTAACTTCTAATTGCAGTCCATTGGATGTGGCTAACACGAAGACCACTAAGCAGCGTCCATCAGAGGAACTTTTAAATTTTTAATGCTGGAATAGGCATTCTAAATAAAATACGATGCTTCCAAACTGTATGCCTACGAAACCAAACCTGGCACTGGCAGGTGCTTTATCTGGAAGTTGGGAGGTAGAGAGGAGAAGCAGCTCCTGTAAGTGGAAGGTGGAGAGAGCGAGATTTTCCCAGCCCAGCCCAAGAGTCGGCTCACAACTGATTCCAAAAAAAGATGAAAAGTATTAACTGCTTAAACTTCTGCACCATCATCACTGTCATTATCCTTTACATTGGCAACAGTGTCTCCATCCTCTGTGCTCTGCCAGAGTTATAGTTTCCTAGAATGAGTCATTTGCAGGTTTTCGCTGTACTGTGCACTATAACACTGCAATGCTTCTAACTTCTTTTTCTGCCGTCTCTTAAATAGCCCTATATTTCTCCCAAATTACTAGCACAAATTGTGAATGAAGGCACTAGTTCTGTTCTCTCCCTGTAGCTATTCTAAGCCTCAATTGCCTCTAAAATTGGCTTAATGCTATCCAAGGTTTTTTTTCTTTTTTGGTTCCAAGTAAAATCATAGTTTCCACAGATTAATGAAAATGGTGAGACAGCTGAATCGGCATCATCATTGCTACAGTGTTACAAGTTTGCAAGGGATTTATTTTTTGTTTTTGTACAACGGGTTCTAACTTGTTTGTTTTTGTTCTTTGGCCAAACAAATATATTTAATGAAAAATAATTACATTGTGAGTTTATTTAGAGATGATGTTTTTATTTTTTAATATCCATTGGAAACATTTGTCCGGGGAGGAAAAAATATCCAATATTTCCTTCAACTTTGCTGTTGAATAAAATCTGAGTTGTGATGATCCTGGAACTTTGTTTTTTTTATTTTGAAGTTCTCTGTTACTCTATGTCATTTCTAGCACTTCTGAGGCCTCTGCTACAAAGGGAAAAGGGAAAGCGTAACTTTAGGCTCTATGGTAGCAAGATAAGCGTCTGATTACAATTAGTATTTATTTATATGATGACAAAATTGCAATTGGCAAGTCTAAAGATCTGCATTGCAGTGGATAGATGAGCCTTTCTGAAAGGCAGCCATTGAGAAATCATCTAAATGCAAAGCAAACTAATACGATTACAGTCAATTGTAGGCCATTATTTTTAGGTTCTCATTTGCTGAAATAGCTGAGCCCCACATGCTTTCCTCATCTTCCCTGAGTGGAGGGAACCAGAAACCAAGGCCTGGTCTACACTACGGGATTAATTCGGATTTAGCAGCGTTAATCCGAATTAACCCTTCACCCGTCCACACTACAGAGCCAGTTAATTCGAATTAAAGGGCCCTTTAAATCGATTTCTGTACTCCACCTCGACGAACGGAGTAGAGCCTAAATCGATTTTGTTAATTCGAATTAGGGTTAGTGTGGACGCACACCACCGAATTACTGTGTTTAAGTTAATGGGGTAGTGTGGCCGCACACCACCGAATTAATGTGGTTAAAAACCGAATTAAGGTGCTTAGTGTGGCCGCGCACAATCGAATTTATACAACCTGTTTCCCAAATTCGAATTATCTAAATTCGGATTAATCCTGTAGTGTAGACATACCCCAAGGCTGCAGATGCATAGTATGAGGGAGTGCTCGCTTTGTGACATGTTTTTCCCCTCCTCCCTTCTCCAAATTCTTTGGCTGCCTACCAGTAGGTATTTCACTGGGTTCAGGCGCCAGGGATCTAAAAATGCTGGGCCTGGTTCCTGGTGAATCAATCTCTAAAGCAAAGATTCCACCAACTGCAAAATTCACATGTCTTTAGTCAATGTTAACTTGCTGGATTCCTCCTCTAATATGTGAACCCACCCACAGGGATTTTATCAGACCCTGTGGTGCCATGAAGCCAGATGGGTAAATTGAGGAACAAAACCTCCATGCAGATGGTTTGTGCCTCTGGTAGCTCCAACAACATCTGCAATTTTTGAGTAGGCCAAACACATTGACACCTTCACAGAGTGGGTGGGGGTGGATCACATCCTAGAGATGGAAGGAGGAAGAGGAAACGTCATGAATCCAAGCATGATGGTCCTAAATAAGATACCTTCATAGGATTGTAATTGCAATATACCTACTGTACTTTTATCTAACAGGATAGAGATGCAGATTGGTTTAGATGGTGAATGATGATAGAAAAGAAAAGAGAATATACAGATAAACACCAGAGCAAAACATTACTGTGGGCCATAATCTGAGAGAAGTGAAAGCTGGAGATGTTTAACGTAAGGAAGTGTTGCCAAGGCTGTGTCATAGATAATCAGTGTTCAAAAATGATGGAAACCCAAGGCACATGACTGCTTTAGAGGACTGGCAATATGATCTGGATTTTGGAATGGTACTTGGAGATTGGGCATGGAAGTAAGGGTACACCTTTGTCCTGGACTGACAGTTACTTCTTTCTCTTTGAAGTCAGGGGTCCTCTAGGGCAGAGCACCTATGTTTGATTGGCCAACACAGCCCAATGGATGTTTTTCAGTTGGCTAATTGAGCATGGTGTTTTTTATGTATGTATGTATGTATGCTCCACAACAATTTGAATGGTCTGCATTTTACAAAATCTAATTTAAAAAATCATCTGTAGGTAACAGGATAAAAAAAAACAAAAACATGTGAGTCGGGCTAAAGGTCTGACGATCTCAGTCCACACCATAACATACCCTAAGGATTGAATGGTCATGGAGACAGAATATCCCCCCTCTCACATTAAGATGATCCCTCCAGAATAAATTTGAGACATATTGGGGAGGCAGAGAGTCTGTAGACACCTTGAGCCAGATTCTCATTTACCCTGAGGCCCCTTTATACCACTTAGGCAGAGTAAAAAGGCCTTCTTCTTATGTGGCCTCTCCATTACTGGAGATTACCAACCATGGTTGCCCATTCCGAACGATCCTCTGTTAATCTCTTTGTGGATGAATTGTCTATTTGATTCACCCAGGATACCACATTGTCTATCCAAGATCTTTTTCTTCCTCATGTTCTGCCATCAACTTTCGCTTACAGAGCTCGTAAACATGCATTGCCTGCTGAACTTTTTAAAATGTGCCCTGCAAATAAAATCTTCCTTTGGATAAGCTTTCTGACTAGCATTTGCTAAGTTCCAATCATCTCCAATATCTTTTTGTTGGTTGCACAGTCTATCCATGACCTGAAGAAGAATTCAGTGGAGCTCAAAAGCTTGCTGCTTTCACCAACAGAAGTTGGTCCAATCAACGATATTACCTCATGCACTTTGTCTCTCCTGTATCCTGGGATGAACACAGCTACAACAACACTGCGAACAGTCTATCCATGATATTTTCAGAATTCTTGCATAACACCATAATTCAAAGGATTGTAGTTTCTGTATTATCAATTGTTTGAATGACCATGTTTCACAGTTGTACTTAACATAAACCAAATGTAAGTTTTGTAAACGTGAGAATTTAGTATTCAGATTTATGTCCCTTCTCATCAGATGTTTATTCTTTCAGAATGTCTCTTTCACTCTTGCTAGTCTGGTGCTGACCTCAGTATCCAATATTCCATCTTCTGTAATGATGCTTCATAAGTAGCAATAATTTCTCACTAGCTGTATGGATATATCGTTTACTGGAATCTTGCATATTTTCCAAGGATCCTTGCATACCACCATAGTTTTTATCTTGTCTGCATTCAACTTTAGACCATAGTATTTGTTATAAAAACAACGAGGAGGTAGATGGCACCTTAAAGACTAATAGATTTATTTGGGCATAAGCTTTCGTGGGTAAAAAATCGACTTCTTCAGATGCATGGAGTCTTTGTTATATTCATATATAATCTCCACTAACTTCATCGGACCTTCTTCTGCCTCAGCCAACAGCACTGTCATATACATAGTGAATGTTATTGTCACGGAGTCACTGGGGCAATGCTCTGGAACTACTCCCTACGAAACCAGTCAGGACTCTGGGGGAGCATGCCTCCTCTCTCTGAGCATACTGTCTCCAGGGCAAGAAGCTTACACACCTTCAACCTTCCTGGGTCTGACCTCAGAGCATGCAGCATCCGCTTCCACACCGTGCGCTTCCCACAGCAAGTCTGCCTGGGCGGGGATCCTGGCAAAGCCAGAGGGCTCTGCACCCCACCTCCGCAGTCAGACGTGACTCTCAGCCAGCCGGTAAAACAGAAGGTTTATTAGTCGACAGGAACACAGCATAGGACAAAACTTTTTAGCACAGAAATCAGTGACTTTCAGCCAAGTCCATCTTGGGGGGAGGGGAGCCCAGAGCCAGGGCTCTGGTCCTCCCCCGAGCTCCAAGCCAGCCATGACCGACTCGTTTCCAGTTGCCTGGCCCCTGCCCTGCCCGTTGCTGCTCCTCTGGCCTTTGTCTCGCTTCCCGGGCCAAGAGTCACCTCCCCCTCCTGGGTCTCAGGTTACAAAGGGGCGGCCATAACATCCATGCAGGTAGCTGGAGCAACCCCCACAAAGGTCACACATGCTTATTCCCACCACCTAGACATTGGTGCAATACACAGGGAAACGGAGGCACACACAGCATTCATGCAAAACAGTCAGACTCACATAGGCTCACATACAACATAACAAATCCCCACTTCGTCACAGTTATTCACCCATCTTTCCATTCATCTTAATATCTTCTTCTGTTTCTTCAATTAATTTAATCAATCACTCGCTATAAATGTTGAATAAAGTTGGTGACACTATACAATCTTGTCTCAGTCCACTCCTGATCACTATAGATTTTCATCTCCATTATAATTGCCTTCTGACTCCAGTGTAATTGTTTTATTACTTGGAGTTCATATCCAGCAATCCCTACAGACATTATTATGTTGAGCAATTTGTAGTGGTAGATTCTGTCAAATGCTTTTTGGAAGTCAATAAAACATGAGTGTACTGTTTTCACCATTTCAGCTGATCTTTCTGGTATGAGCTTCAGGTTCATAATGGTGTTTATTTCATATTTGAGGCCCTAAGGTTGTTTGCTTATTTCTTTATCAATCTTTCCTTATAAATAAATAAATTTGTTAGTCTCTAAGGTGCCACAAGTACTCCTGTTCTTTTTGCGGATACAGACTAACACGGCTGCTACTCTGAAACCTTTCCTTATATTGTATCTTCAACAACTCACCATGTCTTAGAGGCATGTGATAGTAGCCTGATTGTTCTGTAGTCTTTACAACCAAACTGTGTATCCAAATTCCCAAAATGAACACTGTTATAGATTATAAAGTCTTCTGAAAAGTCTCCTGTCTTCTTTAACAAAGCTTTCAAGTCTTCATTGCTTATGCCTTTTAACAATTCAGCTGGTATTCCATCACAATTCAGCGCTTTTCCATTCAGAAGTCTCTCTATTGCTGCCATGATTTCTTCATCCATTATTGGTGGGCTTACTTGATTAATATCTAGTGGAGGTTTTTCAGGTCTATTATGACCATATAGTTCCTGGATATAGTCTCGCCATCTCTTGTTCTTGTCTTTAGGGACTATGCATTGTCATATTGGTCACCTTTCATCTGTAATTGAAGACTATTTTCTTTTGATACATCTCACTTTGTTTGTTCTATTTATCCAATTGTTCAATTTCTTTGCGTTTCTCATTCAGCCATTCAGATTTATGCAATTATTCTTTATTTTATTTAGTCTTCTTTTTCTGTTGTCAATCTTTGTGTTTTTGTAAGAGGTTAATAGCTAATAAAAGCTCATCTAGAACAAATGAAATAATTGCTCTGATGGATGAAAGAAGAAAAGTAAAAGCACAGAGATCAACAACAGGGAAAAAAAAGGGCCCTTAAGGTGGGCGTAAATTACATTTA